GTAAGGGACATTCTTCCCACTGACCCCCAATGTAAGGGACATTCTTCCCACTGACCACCAATGTAAGGGACATTCTTCCCACTGACCACCAATGTAAGGGGACATTCTTCCCACTGACCACCAATGTAAGGGGACATTCTTCCCACTGACCACCAATGTAAGGGACATTCTTCCCACTGACCACCAATGTAAGGGACATTCTTCCCACTGACACCAATGTAAGGGCATTCTTCCCACTGACCACCAATGTAAGGGACATTCTTCCCACTGACCACCAATGTAAGGGAGCATTCTTCCCACTGACCACCAATGTAAGGGCATTCTTCCCACTGACCACCAATGTAAGGGACATTCTTCCCACTGACCACCAATGTAAGGAGCATTCTTCCCACTGACACCAATGTAAGAAGCATTCTTCCACTGACCACCAATGTAAGGAGCATTCTTCCCACTGACCACCAATGTAAGGAGCATTCTTCCCACTGACCACCAATGTAAGGAACATTCTTCCCACTGACCCCCAATGTAAGGGACATTCTTCCCACTGATCACCAATGTAAGGGAAGCATTCTTCCCACTGACCACCAATGTAAGGAGCATTCTTCCCACTGACTTCCAATGTAAGGAGCATTCTTCCTACTGATCACCAATGTAAGGGACATTCTTCCCACTGACCACCAATGTAAGGGACATTCTTCCCACTGACCCCCAATGTAAGGGACATTCTTCCCACTGATCACCAATGTAAGGGACATTCTTCCCACTGACCACCAATGTAAGGGACATTCTTCCCACTGACCACCAATGTAAGGGACATTCTTCCCACTGATCACCAATGTAAGGGGACATTCTTCCCACTGACCACCAATGTAAGGGACATTCTTCCACTGACCACCAATGTAAGGGACATTCTTCCCAGTGACACCAATGTAAGGAGCATTCTTCCCAGTGACACCAATGTAAGGAGCATTCTTATCACTGATACCAAAGTAAGGGGCATTCTGCCCAATTTTTCTTTATTAAAAATCTTGTAATCAATAAACATACAATCATATACAGTATATATATAAATAAATAATTATATACATATTTACACAAAAACTAAAATAAATATAGCAACATCTGCTGTCAGACAAAAGCAAACCTCTCAGACAGGAACATATCATTACTGGGCAGGTGCGGACTTACCATTCGAGCACTCGGGCACTGCCCGTGGGCCCAGGGTCAGTAGGGGGCCCCATGAGATGCCCCTAGTACCTTTCATAGGCTTTCTTGGGTGTGGTTTGAGTGTGGGTGAGGACACAGGGGCCCCATCATCCCCTATTGCCCGGGGGCCCCATGAGTTCGCCCCGTAACAGGGGAAATAGATCTTACTAAGACTCACATCACTACACCAGACATCAAACCTGGGAGGTCAAGAAAAACAACCCGCCCCATTATGCATGCAGCCCCGCCACCATTATGCCAGCCCCGCGCCCATTATGCATGCAGCCCCGCCACCATTATGCATGCAGCCCATCTTCAAAAAGAAGATCTTAACCAACAAAAACTAAAGGAGTGAAAAGAACAGCATAAGAAAAGCGCCCCTCCCCCAGAGATGGACAGTTCACCAAAGGCAGGTCTGATATTCCTCCACGCCCTTATCCAGACCACCCGAGGCTCCCTGCCCTTCTCAAGACCCCGAATCTTCCCAACCTCACCCAGAATATGGCGCACCACCACCTCAACAGGGAGGAATTTCTTCAGGGTAATCTGACACCATGAATTCCACGTGAAGTAACGAACAAGTATACTAACTAGAAAAAGTGTATCCAAATCAAAGTCCCAGTGAGCTGGGAATGCCCCGTACACCCACTCTGCATAACTCATGCGATAGAGAAAAAGGAAAGGGGATGCCCAGAACCCTCCCCACCCTTTTATACACCTCTATGTTAAAGGGACACTGGAGCAGAAAGTGGTCCATAGACTCCACTTTACCAACACACTCTGCTCCAGGACAATCCCGATCATCCACAGGGTGGTGCTTCAGGTTCCTTCTCACATAGAGCCTTCCATGAAAAGCGAGCCAGGCTTGATCCCTAAACTTCAAAGGGATTCTCCCCAAATTAATTAAACGCAATCCCTCCCTCATTACGGATCCTGGGCAATCCTTTAAGGCCAGTGGCACACTGAAAGCAGAAGCCAAAATCATCTCCCCCAGAAGCTTCCTGGGAAGGGACCTGATATCCTCCACTGTCACCTGCCACTGCCGAAATATATTCAGAGATGGGCAACATAAGCCGGGAGCTTGCCATGTCGGACTCTCAGACTTTTCACTGGCCCGCCATCTTCGCAGCAATGCAGAAAAGACTTAAACCAAGACTGAAAAATACCCACCCATCCCGGCGGGGTCTCTGCTAACATATTACCAAGATTGTACTTTAAAAAGAGCAAAGAAAAGAAAACTATCGGGTTGACCATTCCCAGCAATACTCACCACAGCTGGTGGGGCAGACATGCTGGGAGCAGCCATCTTGGTGTACTGGGATTTCTCTACCAGTACTGACCTTGCTGGTCTGTGCCTCCTCTGTCCATCTTCAGGACTTCTGAAGGGTCATCAGAAAAGGCGAACCTGTCTGCCCTCAGGGGTGACTCCATCTGCTGGATGAAGGTCAGGGTGCCATGCTCACTCTCAACCCCCAGGCTGGGGACTTGTCAGTGCCAACCAGCCAGGGGGTTGAGAGTGAGCATGGCACCCTGACCTTCATCCAGCAGATGGAGTCACCCCTGAGGGCAGACAGGTTTGCCTTTTCTGATGACCCTTCAGAAGTCCCTGAAGATGGACAGAGGAGGCACAGACCAGCAAGGCTGCTGCTCCACAGAACTCGCAGATGTCTGGATGGCACATCTCCTCTCAATGTCAAACTTCCCTTAAATGCTCCACTTCTTGCTTTCATGTTTTCCAGTAATAAAGATTGTTTCTTCACCTTCTCCTCCATTTGCTGTAGTTCTGGCTTTATGGCCAATCTGTTCTTACTCCAGGCTTGGCAGTGTTTGGCTCTGAAGGATTTATGATCAGCCTTCAAAACCTTACGTTTTTCCTCAGCTCTTCCAATCGCCATAAAACTATTGAATCCTCTGTCTGTACACATCCACATCTTCACCAGGGCCTGGACCCACAGTCAGGTCATCCACCTCCTCCTCCTCCTCCTCACTAGGTGTCATCAGGGGGATCCCTCCCAGGGCCTCCTCCTGGATCAGGCATGTTTCCTGGCCAAGCTGGCAGGCAAGGCCCAGGCTTGAAAAACACTGGTTCACAGGGAGAGTTCCTTCAGTGTGTCCTCTTCCTTCTCCCACTGACCACCAATATAAGGAGCATTCTTCCCACTGACCACCAATGTAAGGAGCAGTCTTCCCACTGGCCACCAATGTAAGGGACATTCTTCCCACTGATCACCAATGTAAGGGACATTTCCCACTCCCCCAATGTAAGGGACATTCTTCCACTATCACCAATGTAAGGGACATTCTTCCTACTGGCCACCAATGTAAGGAACATTCTTCCCACTGACCCCCAATGTAAGGGACATTCTTCCCACTGACCCCCAATGTAAGGAACATTCTTCCCACTGACCCCCAATGTAAGGGACATTCTTCCCACTGACCCCCAATGTAAATAACTTTCTTCCTACTGACCCCAATGTCCTCTTCCTTCTCCCACTGACCACCAATGTAAGGGACATTCTTCCCACTGACCACCAATATAAGGAGCATTCTTCCCACTGACACCAATGTAAGGAGCATTCTTCCCACTGATCACCGATGTAAGGGACATTCTTCCCACTGATCACCAATGTAAGGGACATTCTTCCCACTGACCACTAATGTAAGGGACATTCTTCCCACTGATCACCAATGTAAGGAGCATTCTTCCCACTGACCAACAATGTAAGGGGAATTCTTTCAAATAGCACCAATGTAAGGAGCATTCTTCCTACTGGCCACCTATGTAAAAGGAACATTCTTTCCACTGACCACCAATGTAAGGGACATTCTTCCCACTGACCTCCAATGTAAGGGACATTCTTCCCACTGACCCCAATGTAAGGGACATTCTTCCCACTGACCCCCAATTGTAAGGGACATTCTTCCTACTGACCCCCAATGTAAAGGACATTCTTCCCACTGACCCCCAATGTAAGGGACATTCTTCCCACTGACCCCCAATGTAAAGAACTTTCTTCCTACTGACCGCCAATGTAGGGAGCATATTTCTCACTGACCACCAATGTAAGGGGCATTCTTCCAAATGACCACCAGTGTGCTAGGACCCTTCATTGACCACCAGTGCCAGAGCCCATTTTTCCACTGGTAACTAAGATGAGCACTAAAATTTTCACTGTCTGCATTTTTTTCTGGCGATATACAGCAGCCCAGGGTGTCAAATAAATGCATACACAACATTCCTTATTATCTTATTTATTTTATTATTATTGGCAGGAGTTCTCTGAGACCTGAAAGTTATTTCAAGGGTTCTTCCATGGTAAGAAGGTCAAGAAAATCCCACCACCACTTTGAACATGTCCCAGAAACAATTAGAAAGACACGGCTCTGTCCTTGCCATATGGAAAGTCTGTAACAAACCTGCAAATACACTTTCAGGTTTCCCCACCACATACAATTGGACCTATGAGAGCTCCACTTTTATCTTAGTTTAGAGACAGGAACACAACTAGAGGAAATAAGTCGAGGAAGTCTGGTCCTTAGTTCGTTCCTTTACAGATGAGGACAATTGAAGCTATTAACACTTCTCTGACATGGAGTATTCCCAAATGGAAGGCGGTGTGAGTGACAACCATTTTCTGTAACCTTGTCCTTGGAATCCCCAAAATTGATCAAAGTGTAACAAATTAAAGGTTTATTAATAGATGGAATGTCAGGAGTTTCCTAGGAAACATCCCAATGTTTTCCAGCCAGCCTTTTCCCCACATACCACTTAACTCTCCTTTGCTTTGTTGCAGATATAACTTTCGTGGGTTCCGATGGCTGCAAGCCATGATATTCGCAATCGAGGAGATCAACAACTCGACCACCATGCTGCCGAATATCACACTGGGCTACAGGATTTTTGACACCTGCAACACGGTCTCTAAGGCCCTGGAGGCCACCCTCAGCTTCGTGGCCCAGAACAAGATTGACTCGCTAAACCTGGATGACTTCTGTAACTGTTCAGAGCACATGCCCTCCACCATCGCCGTGGTTGGAGCTACGGGCTCCGGAATATCTACCGCAGTGGCCAACCTGCTGGGGCTTTTCCATATACCTCAGGTGAAAGGACGGTTACTGTAGACGTTGGGTCACTAAAGGGACTCCTAGGCTTGGAGATTAGATGTTTACTATTGACCTGTGAGCCTATGTATAGGGATGAAGTATTTCTGAAGCCAATATTTTTTGGTAAATGATTAAAACCCATATCGTTTTTTTTGCCATCTGTTTCTCATTTGAGAGACCAACATTTACTTTTTTGTTTAAAAAAGGTCAATATTGGCTGTGCCCACACTGCATGGGTTAAGTGCTTGTCTTGTCCAGGGGCTCATGGAAATGCTGTACTTACCCATTGCTCCAATCCTCTGGAAAACCGCTCTCCCCCACCAGGGGCGTATTTACCACAAGGCAAACAAGGCACTTGCCTAGGGCGGCATTTTTCAGGGGGGCAGCACCTCCCCTCCGAAGAAGGGATGAAAAAAGGGACACGCGTGCCATGAGAACCAGGTGGGATCCGAGAGAGGCTGCGGGCTGCTTGATGGTGTATGTAGAGCCCAGAGGTGGACTGACAACTCATGGGGCCCCCCGGTCAATAGGGGATCATGGGGCCCCTGTATCCTCACCCACACCCAAAAAAGCCTTTGAAAAAGCCAAAGAAAGGTACCAGGAGCATCTCATGGGGCCCCCTAGTGACCCCGGGCCCTCAGGCAGTGCCTGAGTGCTCAAATGGTCAGTCCGCCCCTGGTAGAGCCTGACTCCCATTCCCAGAGATGTCCGGAGCTTTGAAGATGAGTGTCTTTCTCTCTATCGCCGGGAGGGTAGTGGAAGGCTTTCCCGAGTTGGGGGGGCAGGGGTGTTGTTGGTCAATGTCAGACTCTCTCTGCAGGAGGGCGAAGGGGGGGGGGGTTGGTTCGGTGTCCATTGGGTCAGATGATTTTTGTGTTGCCTATTGCAGCACAAAACCTAAATACACCACTGCCCCCCACGTCCAACAGTGGACTGTTTCTGCCGTTCTAATGTTTAGAGCCATTCTATGGGCGTGATGACGTCAGGAACAGCCCATTCACCATTCAAGCAGGGGGGGCAGGAACATCGGGGAACAGTCTTGGATTTGGAGGATCGGTGGATTAGGTAAGTAAATTTTTGCTTTCTGAGCTCCTAGACAAAAACGAGCATTTGACCCACGCATGGGAAAATATAACATTTTATCCAGGTTTCTTCTTTGAGAAAGTGAGAGGAAATCTCTTTAGTGTGAAGGAAATCCCCTCTTATACTGAAACGGTTGTTCCCATTGAATGGTTTCCTCTCTTTGTGTTTTGGTCAGAACTCAAAATTTTGGTTTCCCATCACTTTCTGTCCCAGCGACAAAGGTCACCAGTAGAGATCAGACTGAACTTTGGCTGTTTAGGCATTCAGGCAAATGCCCGAAGTTAGGCCCAGTTGGCCCCCGATTTTTTTTTGAGAGCCAAGAATTTCATATAGAAGCAGTATTTGTACTGTTTCTATATATGACTTCTTCTCATTGTCACTGGGTCCTAAGGAAGCTCAGTTGCTTGAACCTGCGGTGTCCCTTGGAACCATTGACGTCAGAGGGAATCCCCACCCCTTAGCAGTGACATCACTGGCCAAAAAGTGGCCGCTAATCAGACTTGGTCAATGATGTAGCCACCATCCCCCACCCCTTCCCCTGTATAGTTGATTGACAGATGAGATGTCATTGGTGGTCAGTAGTGCCCCCATTGGATGACAGTGTAGTGCCCCTGCATATTGGGAAACAGTGTATTGCCCCTGTAGATTAGCGGTCAGTGTAACTCCCCTTTACATTGGTGATCATTGTGGTGCCCCCCCTATATTGGGGGACAGTATAGTGCTCATACTCCTATACATTAGTGGTTGGTGTAGTGACCCCATACATGGCTGTGTAGTGCAACCAGGACTGGTGCTAGGCTATATTGCACCCTAGGCAAGACCAGCTAATTGCACCCCCCACCCCCCGAAAAAAATTCACCTGTAGCTCTACTACCCCTCCTAGCACACATCCTCTTTCCCCTTAAATTTTCCACCCTAGCAAAAATGCCCCCCCCAGAGTAATCCCCCCCCCCCAATTCTGCCTCCTAGCACAAATCCCCCTAAATTCCTCCACCTAGCACAAACCCCTCTAAATTACCCTTTCCAGCAAAAATTCTTCTTCCCCACCCAAATCCCCCCCTTCCTAGCACACTTCCCCAAATTACCTCAAGCACAAATTCCCTCCCAGAGCACAAATTCCCGCCCAAATCCCCCTCCTAGCATGCCCCAATCCCCCCTCCTAGCACAAATCCCCCACAATGCCCCTTGCTAGCACAGCCCCCCCTATTCCCTTTCATAGTACACATCCCCCCCAATCCCCCCTTCTATCAAGAATTCCCCCAAAATCCCCTCTTATCACAAATCCCCCCTCCTAATACAAACCACCCCATCCCCTCTTCTAACACAAATCCCCCCCAAATCCCTCTTCTAACACAACTACCTCCCAATCCCCTCTCCCAGCACCAATCCTCTTCCTCCAATCCCCCCACCTAGGACAAATCCCCCCCCAATCCCCCCTCCTAGCTCAACCCACCCAATTCCCTTTCGTAGTACAAATCCCCCCCAATCCCCATTTCTATCACGAATCCCCCCCCCCCAATCCCCCCTCTTATCACAAATCCCCCTCCCTCCAAGCCCCCCTCCTAATACAAACCACCCTATCCCCTCTCCTAACACAAATCCCCCCCCCCCCAATCCCCTCTTCTAACACATATATACCCACAATCCCCTCTCCTAGCACCAATCCTCTTCCTCCTATCCTCCCACCTAGGACAAATTCCCCCAAATCCCTCCTCTAGCTAAAATCCTTCTAAATTTCCCTTCCCAGCTTAAAATCCTCCCATCCAACTGAAATCGGGGGGTGTAGCCTACCCCAGCACCCCCCCAGATCCGGCCATGGCAGAGAGTGGAGAAACCAGCAGCTGTGTCTGCGCCCTAAGCAGTAGTGGTGGTGGCACCGATACACACAATACAGCCCATAATGCCACACCGAATGCCACAATACAGCCCATTTGCTGGTCATAGGTGTAGTGACCCCATACATTGGTAGTCAGTGTAGTGACCCCATACATTGGTAGTCAGTGTAGTGACCCCATACATTGATGGTCAGTGTGGTGACCCCATACATTGGTAGTCAGTGTGGTGACCCCATACATTGATGGTCATTGTAGTGACCCCATACATTGGTAGTCAGTGTAGTGACCCCATACATTGGTAGTCAGTGTAGTGACCCCACACATTGGTAGTCAGTGTAGTGACCCCATACATTGGTAGTCAGTGTAGTGACCCCATACATTGGTAGTCAGTGTAGTGACCCCATACATTTGTAGTCAGTGTAGTGACCCCATACATTGGTAGTCAGTGTAGTGATCCCATACATTTGTAGTCAGTGTAGTGATCCCATACATTGGTAGTCAGTGTAGTGACCCCATACATTGGTAGTCAGTGTAGTGATCCCATACATTGGTAGTCAGTGTAGTGACCCCATACATTGATAGTCAGTGTAGTGACCCCATACATTGGTAGTCAGTGTAGTGACCCCATACATTGATGGTCAGTGTAGTGACCCCATACATTGGTAGTCAGTGTACAGCCCCCATACATTGGTAGTCAGTGTGTAGTGATCCCATACATTGGTAGTCAGTGTAGTGACCCCATACATTGGTAGTCAGTGTAGTGTGACCCCATACATTGGTAGTAAATGTAGTGACTCTATACATTGGTAGTCAGTGTAGTGACCCCATACATTGGTAGTCAGTGTAGTGACCCCATACATTGATGGTCTGTGTAGTGTGACCCCCATACATTGGTAGTCAGTGGATATCCCCCATACATTGGTAGTCAGTGGATAGTCCCCATACATTGGTAGTCAGTGTAGTAACCCCATACATTGGTAGTCAGTGTAGTGACCCCATACATTGGTAGTCAGTGGATATCCCCCATACATTGGTAGTCAGTGGATAGCCCTCATACATTGGTAGTCAGTGTAGTGACCCCATACATTGGTAGTCAGTGTAGTGACCCCATACATTGGTAGTCAGTGTAGTGACCCCATACATTGGTAGTCAGTGTAGTGACCCCATACATTGGTAGTCAGTGTAAACCCCCATACATTGGTAGTAAATGTAGTGACTCTATACATTGGTAGTCAGTGTAGTGACCCCATACATTGGTAGTCAGTATAGTGACCCCATACATTGGTAGTCAGTGTAAACCCCCATACATTGGTAGTAAATGTAGTGACCCCATACATTGGTAGTCAGTGTAGTGACCCCATACATTGGTAGTCAGTGTAGTGACCCCATACATTGATGGTCAGTGTAGTGACCCCATACATTGGTAGTCAGTGTATAGCCCCCATACATTGGTAGTCCGTGTAGTGACCCCATACATTGGTAATCAGTGGCCACTGGCTTTGTGACGTTGGTGTCAGAACAATGTAGGGACTATGAGGAGAGAGAATGACCTATAGCTGCTCACAGCCCAAGGAAGCCCTAGCAACTCTTTGGAGAACCCAAGGGTTCATACGACCCTAGTTGAGGCTGGTCTAAACGGTAGTGTGAGGTACGTGTCCATGTTGAGGAAGTAATGTCATACTCTGTTTTTACAGGTCAGCTACGCTTCCTCCAGTCGCCTTCTCAGTAACAAGAACCAGTATAAATCCTTTTTGCGCACAATGCCCAATGACGAGCACCAAGCCACCGCCATGGCAGACATCATTGAGTACTTCCAGTGGAACTGGGTAGGAACTATTGCCGCAGATGATGACTACGGTAGGCCAGGAATTGAAAAATTCCGAGAAGAGGCTGAAGAACGAGACATCTGCATCGACTTCAGTGAGCTCATCTCGCAGTACACACCGATAGAGGAGATTGAGAAAGTGGTGGACGTCATCCAAAACTCAACAGCCAAAGTCATTGTGGTCTTCTCCAGTGGGCCAGACCTTGAGCCGCTCATCAAGGAAATAGTCAGGCGTAATATCACGGGACGCATTTGGCTGGCTAGCGAGGCTTGGGCCAGCTCATCCTTGATCGCTATCCCTGAATACTTTCACGTTATTGGGGGCACCATCGGTTTTGCACTGAGGGCTGGGCAAATTCCAGGATTTCGGGAATTCCTCCAGAAGGTGCACCCCAAAATGTCCAGCAGCAATGGTTTTCTCAAGGAATTCTGGGAAGAGACCTTTAACTGCCGCATGTCTGGTGTGCCTAAGAAAAATGAAGAAAACACCAACATTACTGCCTGCACCGGCTTGGAGAACATCACCAGCGTGGAGACACCGTATCTGGATTATACTCATTTACGGATATCGTACAATGTATATTTAGCCGTGTATTCCATCGCCCACGCCCTGCAGGACATATACACATGTACACCGGGGAAAGGACTCTTCGCCAATGGATCATGCGCGGATATAAAGAAGGTGGAAGCCTGGCAGGTAGGCCCTTTGTCCTTCCTAACTTTATCATAGTTATATTTTACAGCATTGACCTCCTTCTGTCCATCCAGTTCTGAGATTTACACAGTCAGTCCCATACCCAGATCTAACAGAGCTGAGATTTTGCCACTGAAATTGCTGCTCTGCCTCAGGGGCGGACTGACCATTTGGAAACTCGGGCTCTGCCCGAGGGCCTGGGGTCAGTAGGGGGCCCCATGAGATGCCCCTGGTACCTTTTCATAGGCATTTTTGAGTTTGGGCAAGGTCACAGGGGCCCCATGATCCCCTATTGCCTGGGGGCCCCATGAGTTGTCAGTCCGCCCCTGCTCTGCCTATTTATGGGTGCCGATGAAAAAACATCAACTGATGGTGCCTATGGGTGGATTCTTCATTTGTAATATTCAAAGCAAACTCTCCCATCCATCCACGTCTCCACGCTTTATTTTGCTGAGAAATCATTTTGAAAAACACCCCCCCTGGCATTTCTGGCAGTGGCCATCTTGAGTAAGGGCAGATGTTTCATGTAGCATTTACTTCCTGGAATCCATCTGTCCTTAACTCAGGTAAAGGCTGAGCTGAGAACCCTCCTTTCCCTCCTTAAAAGTCTTAGGATGTATGACATCATTTTGCCTAGGCATGGAAACCAGGAAGAAACTGAAGAAATAAAATTAAATCATTAATTATTATAATATAATATATAAACTATTATATATATACAGTGAAGGAAATGCGTATTTGCCCCCCGCCTGATGTTGAATGTTCGCCCCTCACACAGAAATGATCGGTCTAACAATGGAATGTTCGGTGTATTGTAACACTGAGAGACAGAATACAACAACAAATTCAGCAGAAATGCATCTAACAAATGATGACGGATCTGCATGTTCATGAGGGAAAGAAGGATTTGATCCCCTTCACAAAACATGACTTAGTACTTGGTGGCAAATCCCTTGTTGGCAATCACAGAGGTCAGACGTTTCCTGGAGTTGGCCCCCAGGTTCGCACACATCTCAGGAGGGATTTTGGCCCACTCCTCTTGGCAGATCCTCTCCAAGTCACTAAGGCTTGGTAGCTGACGTTTGGCAACTCGAACTTTCAGCTCCTCCACAGATTTTCAATCGGATGAAGGTCTGGAGACTGACTAGGCCACTCCAGGACCTCAATGTGCTTCTTCTTGAGCCACTCCTTTGTTGCCTTGGCCGTGTGTTTTGGGTCATTGTCATGCTGGAACACCCATCCACCACCCATTTTCAATGCCCTGGCTGAGGGAAGAAGGTTCTCACCCAAGATTTGAGGGTACATTGCACCGTCCATCGGACCTTTGATGCAGTGCAGTTGTCCTGCCCCCTTAGCAGAAAAACACACCCCCAAAGCAGAATGTTTCCACCACCATGTTTCACAGTTGGGATGGTGTTCTTGGGGTCATAGGCAGCATTCCTCCTCCTCCTCCAAACACGGCGAGTTGATGCCAAAGAGCTGGATTTTGGTCTCATCTGACCACCACAACACTTCCCACCAGTCCTCCTCTGCATCATTCAGATGTTCAGTGGCAAACTTCAGACGGCCTGGACATGTGCTTTCTTGAGCAGAGGGACCTTGCGGGCACTGCAGGATTTCAGTCCTTGTCGGCGTAGTGTGTTACAATTGTTTTCTTGGTGACTGTGGTCCCAGCTGCCTGGAGATCATTGACAAGATCCTCACGTGTAGTTCTGGGATGATTCCTCACTGTTCTCATGATCATTGACACTCCACGAGGTGACATCTTGCATGGTGCACCAGACCTAGGGAGACTGACACTTGTTTTGTGTTTCTTCCATTTGTGAATGATTGCACCAACTGTTGTCACCTTCTCACCAAGCTGCTTGGCCATAGTTTGGTAGCCCAGTCCAGCCTTGTGTAGGTCTACCATCTTGTCCCTGACATCCTTGGACAGCTCTTTGGTCTTTGCCATGGTGGAGAGTTTGGAATCTGATGGTTTGATGGCTCCTGTGGACAGGTGTCTTTTATACAGGTAACACCATGAGATTAGCAGCACTCCCTTTAAGAGACTGCTTCTAATCTCAGCTTGTTACCTGTATGAAAGACACCTGGGAGCCAGAAATCCTGCTGAATGATAGGGGATCAAATCCTTCTTTCCCTCATGAACATGCAGATCAGTCATCATTTGTTAGACGCATTTCTGCTGAATTTGTTGTTGTATTCTGTCTCTCAGTGTTACACCGAACATTCCATTGTTAGACCGATCGTTTCTGTGTGAGGGGCGAACATTCAACATCAGCCGTGGAGCAAATACGCATTTCCTTCACTGTATATATATATATGTATATATATTATAAATATAATAATTAATTAAAAAGTTTTAAAACAAGTAAATAAGATATACTTCCTATCTATTTACTAATGTCAACAACATAAGGATTGGAAATAGTGAATATTTATTGACAGAGTGAAGTTCCACTTTAAGCGTTGTCTAGAAAAGTAGGAATATTGGAGAAAGATAGGAAAGGTTTAGCAAGGTTCTGTAAAGGAAAAAAAGTGGCAAAAAGGGAATTTGGTATCTCCTCCTAAATAATGGTGATGTTGTATACAAAATAAAATAACACACACACACAATATAAAATTGGTGAAATATTTTTTATTTAATAAAGAAAAATAAAAAAAGTATTAAAATATATGTATTTAAATATGAATTTATTAAAACATAGTATTATTATAAAATTAAAGTAAATACAAAATATTTAAAATAAAAATACTTTTTTAAAATATTTTTTTATTTACATTTTTAAAAATGATTATGATTATTATTATTATTATTTATTATTATTATTAATAATAATGATAATAATGATAATAATAATAAAACATTTGCTATAATAATAATAATAAAATAATAATATAATAATAATAATAATAATAATAAAATATTTGCTATATAATAATAATAATAATAACAATAATAATAAACATTTATATTATAATAATAATAATAATAATAATAATAAACATTTGCTATAATATAATAATAATAATAAATATTTGCTATAATAATAATAATAATAATAATAAAAAAACATTTTCTATAATAATAATGATAATAAAAATAAACATTTGCTATATAATAATAATAAAAATAAACATTTGCTATAATAATAATAATAATAAAAATAATTATAAACATTTGCTATAATAATAATAATAATAATAATATAAACATTTGCTATAATAATAACAATAATAATAATAATAAAAAAAAAAAACATTTGCTATAATAATAAAAATAAAAATAAACATTTGCTATAATAATAAAAATAATAATAATAATAATAATAATAATAAAAATAAACATTTGCTATATAATAATAATAATAATAATAATAATAAAAATATAAACATTTGCTATAATAATAATAATAATAATAATAAAAAATAAACATTTGCTATAATAATTATAATAATTCCAAAAAAAAAAACATTTGCTGGTTGGATCTGTCTGTACCATTAAAAAAAAAAAACCCAAACAAACAGTATTTGCAGAGCGCCTGTCCCCGATGAGTTGGGTCACCTTTTACACGGCGGTTGTCACGTCTCCTCCAGGATCTTTGTTGTGTGTAATTATTATCTATGGAATTAATTAGACATGAAGCAGACCCGATGTCTTCCTGTGTCCGAGGGACATGATGTCAATAATCCTTTTCCTGGGTCCTGGGCCGGATACAGAAGTCTTGTAATTAGAGAACAAGAAGATGCAGAACAGGGAGAGTCGAGGGGGGGGGGGGGTTGTTGGGGGAGGGGGGGGGGGGGGGTGTGCAGGAGATTTGGCCACCCATTGAATTTCATTTGTATGTTTTTTTTTTCTTCTTCTATTCATTTATCCCCCAGGCCAGCAGGCCCCCAGTGTTGTCATCTCATGGCAGCTGACCCTTTCTAATTCATTTATTTCATGTGAAATGTGTGCAGATCTCTGTTCATGTTATCATGAAGAATGGGGCAGAGAAAGTGCAGGATTCCCATTACAGAGAGAATGAAGGGTCCTGTCACCCTAAAAACTCAACCCCGGGTACAGCAAGAAAAATAGGTTTGTAGGTCCTGCCTGTGAAACAGGACTATAGGCACAAAAAGCAAGATCTCTGCGCTTCTCTATGCAATGCAGGCAGATCATGGCTGGTGGGAGGGGCTGGCAGGGTGCTGTACATAGCTTCCTGAAAATCACATTACTCTGCCTCAGTAGTCTGGAGGTCAGATTTAGAAGCTCTATAAAAGTTTTTTTTTTTTTTTTAAAATTTTTTTTTTTTTTTTTTTTTTTTCAATATTTTTTT